CTGCAAAATGAACTAGTTAACCTTTTCACATTACATCAGCAACTGCACATTGGTCGAGATGAATTTTGCTTTACTCAAATTATATGTATGCATATAGCAACTGTTGCCTTCGTTATGCAAGATTTAAAAAATGACCAGGCTAATCCACATACCTGCTTTTTGGATCCTAAGTTGCTTGATTAATACTTACACATGCAGTCCCCGATGTAGAGTCTAAAAGGTCTTTGTCCAATTAAAGGCATCATAATAGGTTTGCTGGTAGGTTAAAGGTTTTAGTAGCAGCCATTCGTCACTAAAATCTCTTTTTTGCTGCCCCTTTTGTTTTAAAGCAGCCAGTTGGTGCGTGACTATTAGGGCTGCCATTTTTTGTCGTTGCCACGTTTATATGCCACATAAGCGCCGTCGAGTACGTAAGAGTAGCGGTAAGACCTTCATCCACGTATGATTTTGGTTTTGGTTGCTATTATTTTCAATTTCTATACATTCGTTAATGATCTCATAATCTGTTCACAAAAAAATTTCACAATTGGGATTACTGACAGCTTTGAATGCCTATTTGTGTTTATTTGTTGAACCAAATAAAGTAGCATTTTTTATATTTTGCTTTCATGCAGTCCAGCAAGCACATTCCTAGAGCGGTTCAAATGATTTGGGTGCTTGTGCGAGAAATTACTTCGTAAAGGTATGGAAGTGGTTCCTACTTTGAAGTACCAATACTCACTTTCAATTTTCTGTTTCCTTGTACAATCTAAATGTTATTTACTATGAATTTTTCTGATTTATTGTATTAGATGAATGATGATTTTGAAGTAGCCGATTGGAAAAATCACCCTACAGTTGAGGCAGCTTTCGTTGCAACACTTGTAGAGTGGCATAGGAATGGTGCTTGGGACAAGCACCAAAAGGGCAGGTCAAACTGGCACCATCTTAGCCTACACATGAACGACAAGTGCCACGTCAATTTGAGGTGGGAGCAATATCGTTCAAAATTCTATAGGATGGAAGCCGAGTGGAAGTGTTTCGTCCGCTTATCGGGGAATCCTAGACAACGGCAAAGACGGGAGTTGGGTTTAATTCGAAGCTTCTCTGCTTTTAGGCTACAAAGGAAAAATGGAGCGCTCTAAAGCGGGTAAACTTCTTCTATGTCTCTATTATTTGTATCCCAAATTGCCCTTAAGCTTTGATAGATATGTTTCCCTGTGTGTTTGGTGATAGACAATGGAATATTGAGCCCTGTCATTGCTTCTGGGTCCCTGAAATTATGACTTATGTAACAGTTGAATACAAGTTTTATGTGTTTCAGTTCTGCTGCACTGGGTTGGTAGCATAGATGTGTACTTTGATTTTATACTTCCTATGTTTGGAGGCTGCCTTATTAATCTTTGATTGCTACTGCACCCTAAATGTAACAGTGAGGGGGGAGAAATTCCTATGTATCAATTAGGTTGGTACAATAATAATTTAAGGTGGCCATCTTATGCTTGATTGCTGGCCTACATATCCGTCCTTACTGGCCTGGAATTTGTTTTTGAATACTGGCCTATATTTCTTTCATTACTGGCCTTATCATGGCTGATTGCTTGCCTGATCATGTGTATATTAGCTATTTGAAGTAATAGCTTAGTAATACACAGCAAGAATGCTTTTTATATAAACTGTATCTGTTTGTCCAGTTGAACCAGTTGCCATTTCACATACCTTGCAGGAAAACAAATTCTATGCAAGGTTCAAAGAAGGCCGCAGCTGCGATTGCTTCTACGAATTGGGAGAAATTCTTGAGAGCTGAACAGCCACCGGAAAGCATGCCCAATCGTCTGCTCAGATTGATGTCCACCACTCTTCTTGGTCTGCCGAAAAGACCACTGGGGCTGCATCAAGGCGAAAGGGGAAGGCAAAGGTTGACGGACCTACCTCAGACTTTTGGGGGGAGGATGTGTATATTCCAGTTCGGGATGAAGAAGTCGAATGCGTTGCTAGTAGGCCGGGTAAGCGCCCGGTATCGAGTCGGGGGACATCATCCTACGATGGTTCAAGGAGCACTAAGTCTCAGAAGACCGAGGAAGCTCTACGAGACGCAGCAACGAACATCGGTAAGCTGTCTCAGATCAAAATTGAGGAAAACACCAGACGAAATGAGTGGTGCGTAGCGGCGCTAAAAGTTTGGGACAAATCATACCCAAAACATGAGCCCGTTGAATAGTGGTCCCGAAAACGTCTTGCGTGCATGAAAGTGTTTGAAAATAGTGAGGGGTGGTGCCATATGTTTCTCCAGTCGGATGAAGGCTTCCAGTACTGGTATGCTGATACCATTCTTGATCCGAAATAGCTGCTGCATAGGCAGATTTAGATGACGGTGCCTTGCTGGATATTTGAGGAAATTTGGCTGGGTTCTATAACTGTCTTGGAGGACAAATTTTGGATTCCTGGTGAATGCGAAAAAAATCCCAGTCTTGCGGATATTATATGTAATTTGCTTGCCATTTGACATAAACTTGCACTATGTCTATATTTGAGCCTTTTAACCCTGCGGCTTATGTACTTTCTGGTATTGACGTACTATCTTTATATAGTTCAATGCTTATTGCTACTCCCATTATAGTGATTTACTACTGAGTGGGGGATTTTCTTCATTTATATGAGAAATAGTTAGTATTAATGCTACCTTGTGGTAGCTATATACTGTATTCGAGTGTTTCTTTACACAGGGAGGCTGGATGGTCCCTTAGTTGATTGGATGAGGTTATGGCCGCAAAGGATTCATGTGCAACTTTCATTCATGGTTCATTGCCAGCTTTTCCTTTGCTCTCACGTTCATATCCTTTGCTTATTGTTATGAATTGTTAATTGACATTTGTATTAATATATATAAATATCCTTTGTCTTAACATCTCTAAGTAGCTGTATATATTTGAATGTACAGAAGATGGTTTCCAATAGCAATTGATATTATATATGACAAGTATGGACCACTAACACCCACACATGACATCTGATATTTTTTTTGGTAAAAAGCTTATGACTACTATTTTTGTAGGAAAATAGTACAGGCCCATATCTGAACCCCCGGCAGCTTTGCATATGACTACTAGTATGCTAGATTCTTTTCCTTCTTTTGATTGCGGGTTATATAGTGGCTATGTTGGCCACTAGCTTCTTTGCAGGAATTGGACGTTCACGGGATATCCGAATACTTGGTTTATATGTTCAATGGCCCCTTTAAGTTCTTATCACTGCTATCTTCGCGTGCTTATTTGTCCGAGCATCGGTGATCTATCAATAAGAAATAGTTTCGGACATGCAATACACTATTTGGCTGCAGCTTTATTTATGTAACCAGTCGTGGCCATTCAAAGTGTGTCAACATGTCTATGTCGGTAGGTGAAATTGGTTGAGTTCCATGAGAACTGTCAAATTTCTATAAAGCCATAAGTTTATAGCAGTGTGTACATGCCTCCCATATCTAGCTACTAACTTCAGAAATCCAGCAGCGTTCAAGCCATAGGAATTCTGGTTCATCAACGGCCTTTTTGCTCCTGAAACAGGCTCTTGCCATAGCCCAGGACAGGTGATTAATTTCTATTCATAAATATCTGTCATGTTGGTAATTTTTCTATTCAGTATATATATATATATATATATATATATATATATATATATATATATATATACATACATGCAACTGAAGTTCAAATTATTTTATGGAGTCGGGTTACAAACTCCAGGTTGACCATATATATAGAGAGAGAGAATATATACATCTCGTCTACCTGTCAAATCAAACGCCATCCTACCGAGTTGCAAAATTATTAGCCAATATATATATTACTGGCAGTATATTACTATAAAAATTACTTTTGTTTTTTCTTACTATTACAAAATATTGGCTAAGGTATATTCGCGGCGCAAAGGTATATTAGCCAAGCTATTAAAAATATTAGCTAAGGTATATTACTATAAAAATTACTTTTGGTTATTTTTACTATTAAAAAATATTAGCTAAGGTATATTACTATAAAAATTACTTTTGGATATTTTGTACTATTAAAAAATATTAGCTGAGCTAAGGTATTTTAGCTTAGGTATATTACTATAAAAATTACTTTTGATTTTTTGACTATTAAATAATATTAGCTAAGGTATATTATCTAAGCTATTAAAAATATTAGTTAAGGTATATTAGCTTAGGTATTAAAAATATTAACTAAGGTATATTACTATAAAAATTACTTTTGGTTATTTTTACTATTAACAAAGACAAATTGTCCCACCTGCAAAAGAGGATGAAACTTTTCAAAGCATGCCTTCACAACCTCCTGACCAACAATACCAGCAAACATGGCAGCCATGGGATTCAAAACAGCTGGGGCACCAAAGGCAAAATACTGCAAAAGTTTTGGGTTGATATCTTCTAGTTTTCCATCCCCTAGTGCTTTATTTAAGTCTCTGGCAATTGATATAAGCTTATTAGCATCCTCCGTTGAACCTGCAACAGAGAGGCGTCCAACTTTAGCCACAAACTTGTCTAGTGCTATAAAGGCCAAATGCAGAAGACACGGCCCATTCCACTTGTCTAGTACTTTCGGTTAGTTTTACTATTAAAAAATTATTAGCTAAGGTCTATTAGCTAAGCTATTAAAAATATTAGCTAAGGTATATTACTATTAAAATTACTTTTGATTTTTTTTACTATTAAAAAATATGACTACTAAATTACTTTGTCTAAGCTAAGGTATATTAGCTAAATCTATTTAAAAATTCAGCTAAACTAGAAAAATTTATTAGCTAAGCAACTTGTGTATTACTATATTCTACAGGCCCAGTTATATGTGACTTTGGAGTCATTCGTTTAGTATATTAGCTAAAGTTTCATTTTGAGCCATGGTGTACCAGGTTTCATAGGCGGCCAAAATAGAAGTATGGATAACAGTTGGAATACTTGAGGATCGTCTTCGAATAATGCTGATGATGATGACGACGACTGGGAACTCATCCAATGGGCAATGGTTATTCTATTCAACCCTGTGACTGAACGTCTAGCAAGATATATATTGCCTTTACCATGCAGAAACAGCATGCTAAGTGGCCGTGCGTATGTGCAAGAATTGATTGATGGCCATCCTGCAAGAGTACTTGAGAACTGTAGAATAACGGTGGATTCTTTCATGCGCTTATGTGACATTCTTGTGAGTGGGGGATATGTACCACAAAATCCCCAGAAAAGAGTGCTCATAGAGGAAGCAGTGTGCATGACATTAGTTATGTTAAGTCACAATCATCGAATGCGAAGCCTCGCTGAACAATTCCAACATTCCCCGGAGACCATCTACAGGAACATTCATGAGGTGTTACGGGGGCTTTGTGAGTTGGGAAAAATTCTCATAAAACCGAGAGGACAGAACGAGGTTCATCCAAAGATTTATATCGATAGGAGATTTGTCCAGTGGTTTACGGTAAAGTATTGTTAAACCAAATTTATTCAAGTAGTATAAAGTATGACTTACCCATTTGTACCAACACTCAAGCATCAATATTCAATGATCGTGTCCAACTTTATTATGCACTTACCAACTAACTAGCATATCAAATCTACTAGAATGTTGTAGGTGCATTAGATGGTACACATATTCCAGCACATCCACCACCTGGGCAGCAAGCGGCGTATACGCATAGGCATGGGCAAGCAACTCAAAATGTACTAGCCATTTGCGATTTTGATATGCGCTTTTCATATATTTATGCTGGTTGGGAAGGAAGCGCCCATGATGCACGCGTCTTGGACGGAACACTAACAGGACCTACACATTTTCCGATGCCCCCTCCAAGTGCACGACAATATTTTACAAATTTTTGTCCAATTATATGCTTCCATAGTAGTATGAAAATATTCAGGAGGTAACAAGTAGTGTACTTTTACTTATATTTGACCTTCATTTCACTTTGTTTGTAGGAAAATACTACCTTGTGGACTCGGCATATAGAAATATTCCTGGATTTCTTGCACCTTATCGTGGAACACCTCGACAACCTGCTCAGGGCGGATGTGGTTGTTCCTCCCTGAAGTAACTTTTCAATACTCGTCACTCATCACTTAGAAATGTAATTGAGAGATGCTTTGGGGTGCTTAAAATGAGATTCACCATCCTGCACGGTCCTATACCTAATTTTTATATGAGTACACAAATAAATGTGGTGATAGCTTGTTGTACTCTATACAATTTCATACGGGATGAATTGCCAGATGATAACATATTCAATGATCATGATCAGGAGATGGATATCGAAGGAGAAGGTGGGGTCCCACCAATGCCAGAAATTCAACCCTTAAGTGCCTCACAACAAGAGGTCAACGAATGGCATGAAATGAGAGATGAAATGGCAAATGGAATGTGGAATGCGTATCGGAGTGCAAGATGAAGGTGAGGGATTTGTAGCGAATGATTGCTGTGTATTAATACTAGTGTGATGCGTGTAGACACCAAATTTTTGTCAATTTTTAATATTTTCTCAAGATTTTTCTATTTAATGAATTATTTATTTTCTAGTATTTTAATGTGCATTTTTCTCATTTTTGCAGGTTTGCTTTTAAAAAAAAAAAAAGGGAAAAAAAAAGAAAAAAGAAAAACAAACAACAAAAAAGAAAATAAAAAAAAATCATCATAATCATTTTCTCTACCAAAACCCCTATTAACCCATTCCATACTCAATTGCCATGCACCTTTCTTTTCATTGGCAGAAGTCATCATTTCGGAAGATTCAGCACACAAGCTCCATTTTTTTTTTGGCTACAAGTCTCTCTCGGCTCTACCCCAGGGGATGGGACAGACAAGCAAAAACAAGACCAACACTCCAATTTTTTCTCCAGAAAAAAAATCCCTCTCGGCTCACTTGGGCAGAGGAGAGAAGCCACAAAAAAAAAAAAAAGGACTCCTGACTCTCTCGGCTCTCTCTCTCAAAAACAGAGAAGAAGAAAAATCTCCCTCAATCTTCTCTTGGCTCCATCTCTGGTTCTCTCAATCTCACATGCACCTGTCCTCGGAGCAAAGAAAGGTGAAGGAAGGAAATGAAGACAACAAGCAATTGGAGTGTGAGGTGCTGAAATTCCTTCAAAATTTTGACCGAAGAAGCTCTTGCGGGAGTGGAGGTATTTTTCCAGCTTTATTAACCATGTCAACCCCACATTTTATCGTTTAATTTTGTGGCTTTTGCTGTCTTTTATTGTTGTTGTTGTGTTGTTCAAAATTTGGGAAATGGCTTGAGCAAAGTTGAAGAAAGAGAAGTAATATTTCTGTATGTATGCTAAATATTTGATAAAATGCCAAAAAGAATTTTAAGGACTGTTTTGCCTTAATGTAGTCTTTTGTTGTTGTTTTCCGGTTAGCTAAGATCATAGTTGTATTGTAGAGGTTGTAGGGAGTGTTGTGGTATAAATTTTGTGATTTTTAGTGGTGACTTGGGTGTTTTAAAAAATGAAAACTGGACTGTATTTTGATATTTTGGCCACTTTTGGATCATCTTTTGTAAAAACTAATTCCGAAAACGGAACCTACGCGAAAAATCGAGTGAGGGGGTGTATTTTGAGAAATTTTGGTGACCGGAGAGGTCGCCGGCGGTGGCGCCACCGGCGGCCACCAACTGAAGTAAGCTTCGGATGGCCAGAGGAGGAGAAGAACCGAAGGAAGAAGAAAGAAAGAAAAGAAAAGAAGAAAAAAGAAAGAAAAGAAAAAAAGAAAAAAAAGGGGTTTGGGCCAATTTTTTTCTGTGGGCTTGTGATCGGGCTTTAGTTTATTTTTTCTTTTGGGTTTCTGTTGGGCTACGAGGTTGGAGCCCATGTATTTTTGGCTGGGCTTGAGGGATAAAAATACGGGCTGGCCTGTGTGTTTTAGCTTGGATTTTCAGTTGGGCTTAGGTAGTTTTGGCCCAAGTAAAATAAAAAGAGTGGCCCGATGCCCTTTATCTTGCCCAGATCTGGTTACGATTTGCACTTTGGCCCCTGATCTTTGGAGTAGTTTTATTGTGGCCCAGAACATTTTAAATTCCTTTCACCTAGGTCCTTAAATTAATTTCATTTTGGTCCCTGAATTTTATCTTTCATTTAATTTTGACCCCTAAACTTTGGAAAAATATAATTTTGTCCCCAAAGGTTTTTCAATCTTTGCAATTCAGTACATGGTGAATTTTGACTCTCTTTGTTATGATTGTTTCTTTTCTTTAATAGCTAATTATGTTACTTTAGAATATACTTAACTTGGAATTTTTAGATTTGCTTAAATTTCTTTACGTCTGACATATTAGTGTGAATTTAGTACTTGTATTATTATTTTCTTTTTCAATTAAATTGGTGCCATGATCCTTTTGTTCATTGTGAGTATAAATAGGACAATTTGACTCCATTTAGTTACCACTTCAAACGGGAGGTACTCCTATTTTTATTATTTCAATGTCAATTACGTGATCTTATGTGCTCTTATGTGTTCCTATGTGTTTATATTTTTATATGCTTTATTTATTTGATTTAAATATTCATTCAAATTTTCTTACATATGTTTTAGTTAATTTTTTTTACAATGATTCAAGAGGCATTTAAATACCTCAAAAATGTAATAGATAGGATAATTAGATTTGTTTTATTATATTTTTCCCTTCTAGATTGTAGTTAGGCGCTCCCCGATGTAATAGATAGGTTGCGTGTTTATGTGGCTTATGTGTTATGTGTTTTATCCGCTTTTCTTAGGATTTTGGCATCTAGATATTATGTTTACGTGTTATGTGCTACGTGCTCTTATGTGTTTATTTGTTTTAATTTATGTTTTATTTGTTTCACTATGAATTGTTAATGCATGACGTCACCACACTAGTCCAACGCTAGTTGTGATTTTTCCCTCCACTTACTTGCTAGTCCAACGCTAGTAAGGATTTTTTTAGAAATGGGTTAGTCCAACGCTAGACCCTTTAGGTCATCTTGCGCTAGATTCATCTTTGTATGCTTTTCACCACATTTTCATGCATATTTTCATTTTTAGGATCTTTTCTCATTTGTATGATATTCCCTATTATATTATCCCTTACCCTCTGTAGGTACAAATCATGTCATTTAGAATTGCATCTCATTTAAGTTAGTTCATTTGCTTGTTCATGTTAGGATAGTTATTTTTTTTTTTTTTTTAACATGGGAAATGGGTGATTATAACTTTTTAGTTTAAATACTCTATTAATCCATGTATAAGAAAATTATGTCACGAGTTTTTGTCTCCCGTACCCTTTATGTTGCATTCCCTTTTCCTTTGATCATTTATATATGTATATAATTTAATTTCTTTTCTCTTCTTTTCTTTTAATTTCATCATTTGCATATTCGTGACACTTTCAAGGAGTTATTTTGGCTTTCGCAATTAATGCGGTTGGTTCAATCAAACCCTTGAATGAACATTTTGTCCCTTTCAATGTTTTTATAAATTTAGATTTGCATCCATGTAGGAAACATCCAAATATGATAAAATTAAGGGTTAGATTAGGAAAATTTTGACTAAACCTCGCAACTAGCTTAGATTAGGTTGAAAGGGTGCCTTAGGTTTGAGTCAATTGAACCTTTGCCTTCCCTTTCTTCAACCGTGACTCCCGAACCCATTTCTCTTGTTTTCAAAGACCTGGAGTTGTCAAAAAGGGTTTTGATTTATTTTATTTCTGTCAAAAATATTTTTCGGGTGACTTGGTACACCAAAACTCGATACCAAGTGGTGACTCCTATTTTTTCTAAAAAACCCTTTTTAGACTAAATTTTTGGACCCAAATTGTCGCATTTTTTAAAGTCCCATTTTAGGTCCCTTTTAACTTGTTTTAAAATAAAATCACATCTTTTCTAAACCACCTTTATCTTTCTTTTTCCATCGCGAAAAATGGGGCGCGACAATGCGAATAAGGTTAATCCAAGTACTTTAGCATCATTTTAAATTCCAAAAATTTGCTTGTTTATGTCATGTCTGTATGTTTCCTAATTCCTCTATGCTTGCTTGACAAGTGAGTCAAATCTCTATTTTGAAAGTACTGTATTCTATATTAAATCTGGTATACCGTAATTTTATGAAGAACTATTTAGCCCCTGCAAAATATTTGCACATAGTGTCAACCGAGCGGTTCAAAGAGGTTGCAATTTGAGGTGAATAATGTGATATAACCAAAAAAGCTGTGGTTAAAAAAAATTCAATACTTGCAAGAATACAATATACTATCCAAACGTGAATCCTATATTGTATTCTTATTGAATTGACTATCCATACGAGATTCAGTTATTCTTATCCAGTCAAACTATTTGATCGAATAACAACAAATTAACCTTTGCCATTTCTTTGTTTTTCCATTCTCCCAAGAAACTAACAGTCTAATAACATTTTAAGGCATGTTTCTCATTTACCTTGCTTCCTACATGATTTAGCATCTATAATTATACTGATCTTAAATCCTTTCAGTAACTTCTCATATCGGACCACAAACAAGTAGATGCAGGCGAAGAAAAAGCTTGATTACAAAATCAAAAGATTGCGAATGAGAAAACAATTGATTATTACTTTTTCTGGGTTTTGGCTTTTTTGTCTCAAATTGCAATTGGTCATCTCATATTCTACCCACGTCTTATCCACTAACTACAGTAAACCTAAGGCCTCACATCTAAATTAATTATCTATTGGTGGGAAAAGCACACTGCAAATTACAAAAAATAAATTCTTTTTATAATAATAAAGTAGAAGTCGTTAGAAATTTGATTTTCAAAAACAATTATTGAAAATTAAAATAATGAATGTTATTGAAAGTTATTAAACCCTAGTAACTATGTATAGTTTGTTTGTGGTGGTTATGCAATGTAAATTCTTACTTTTGAAAGGATAAAAATGGGATAATAAAACATAATAAAAAATTTTAACACCAAATGCTTGCCTCATGCTTTATATTAACTAGTGGGAAAAACATGCCCTATGATGTTGGTATGCAAATTAAGAAAATTAAATTGTTTTTATTAGAAGCAATGGAAGTTATTAGATTTTTTTGTAAAAATATAAAAATATGATTTTTTTCAAACAAACAAAAAAATTATTCAAACAAGCAAAAAAAAATTATTAGAAGTTACTCAACTTAAGTAATCTTTAGCAAATCTTTGCTTTTGTGAAGGTAAAATTTAAAAAGTAAAAGATGGCCTAAAATTTTGACACTTAAACCTCTTCCTCATTATATATATATATATATAGGCTAGTGCTGCAGGTACACTTGATGATTTGATGTGTGTACAATCAGGCTAATTACTTAGAATATTGTCAGAAAAAGAAAAATCGGACACTTACGGATCTGACAAGTATTAAACTATTGCTGCCAGGTTGTGTCAGCCCGGCAACAAAAGCAAATTTTTTTTTTAAAAAAACACAACT